TATTAATTTGCTTAGAAAATATCTATTGAGTGCCAATTATATGCCTGGAAAAACAGTTATAGAACTACTTTTATGGAATCTAATGGGTGAGGAAAAAAATGAACACAATGCATGTATAAGTACAAATTGCGGTCTTAGGTGAAAAAAATTGTTTTGTTGAGTGTATCAGAATCTGATTCGTTGACAAGATTAGCTGAGATATGAAGAAAAGGCATTAGCTGGTTGATACAGAGACAGAAGACAAGTATTTCATGCAGAGGAGAAGAGCATAGCACACTTCAGAAGCTGAGGGAAGGCCAGTATGGCCTAAGTACAGAGAAGAAGGTAGAAAATGGCACAAGATGAAGTGGGACAGTTAACAGGGGCTACACATCACTGGGGCATGTTAAGGTTTTGTTCTATCCTAAAAGCAATGGAAAGTCATTGACATTTTTTAAGCAATAGCACGAAGATCAAAACTGAACTTTAAAAAGATCACTTTGGCGCAGATTGAAAAGAAGAGTGGATTCAAGAGCTGAGTTTGGAGACAACTGCAGTATTCCAGGTGAGAGATAATGACCGGTTAGAAGGTAGAGTTTATGCCTTCAATTTAACAATACATAAAATCTAAAGTTATTTGTGTTCTACAAGTGACCTATTTTCACAGAATTATACATATCAGGCTCAAAGGGATAAGGGAGCAATGAAATAGAAGGTGCGCGTGCTTTAGAATGAAATGCACCTGGTTTAGCTTGGTCTGAACTTTTGGCTCCGCTACTTATTAGCTAAGGGACCTTATACAAGGCATTAAACTCTCTGAGCCTCAGCTTTCACATCTTTTGAGCAAAGAATACTACCTCCCACAGCTGAGAAGACTAAGTGTGACAACGTGTGTGATATTCTCAGCATGTGGAAGGCCAGTTAGTATGAGGAGCCCCAGGACAGATCGGCTGGTTTCATCCCCTCATGTTAGAGATTCCCAAATTCCTTTTGAAGCCGGTTCCTCCCCCTGGGCTTCTTTCTCCATGAACAGCACTAAAATTTACCCAGTTGCACAGGTCAGAAGCCCAGCAGGCATCCTTTTCCCTCACCTCTATGACCATCAAGTCATATAAACTCTTTTCTCAAATAGCTATTTAGTTGATGGACCACTTCTCTGCCCACTTTTCCTAACCTAGTTAAGGTCACCAACATCTTCAGACTGGAGTATCCCCTTCATCCTGCCTCAGTTTTCTTTTCCTCTTCCACTCTTTATGCTAGCCATGCAAATCTTACTATCTTAATCTTCGACCATTGCCCTTAAGCCAAGAAAAAGTAACCAAGTTCATTAGCACGACTAACAACACCCTGCATGATCTACATTCTGCTTATATATCAGCCTTGCCTTTTGGTTCTCCTCCCCTCTGGTCCAGTAGCTGAAAGAAACTGCTCCCTACTCAGGACTTGTAGCTCTCAGAAATACTCCCTTCACCTCCAGACTCAGGCCAGTGGATGGACGCAGTTCCTCCTGGCTGGAGCATTCTCCTTCCAAAGCTTTTCTTCACTCATTCAATACCTTAAAATTGAGGTATTGAGGTAAGCTCAAAACTGAGGCTTTGGCTCAGATAGCACTTCATCTGGGAGGCACTTTTCTTCCACCTGACTGTATCTCAAAAATGTAGGACAGCCTATAACTTGAATTTCACTATTTGAATGAATTCAGTGAGCACTCAAGTGGGGCCAATGAGCACTCAAGTGGGGCCAGAGAAGTCTTACTGGATTGACGCAAGTCACATAGGTTGGGATTGGTAGTGTGAGCAGAAGACCCAGGTCTCCTGCTACACGTTGCAGTGTCCCTTTCTCACCATCATGCCAACACCCACCTTATTCATCTCTGATGGCATTAGCTCTCTTCATTAAGCCTTAGAAACATTCTCTTCAGGTGGTTGCACATTTATCTTATGGGTTATGATTTTTTCACTCAAAAAAGACTGATGTCACTTCCTTTCCCAATATTTCTTTGACTCTCTTGACATGGTATCCTTGACTACTGTAACACTCTCAAACACTCCTGCAGATGTGTTGTATTGATTCTCTCCCCCATGACACTGAAAACTCTTCTGAAACCAGGACCATGCTAGCTTCATTTTGCATTTCAGGTACCCAAGACTGTCCTTGGAACACAGTAGTATTTAATATTTGTTGAACTTAATGGCACGCCAGAGCTAAATGGTGTCCAAATGAGGGCAAGTAAAATGATGTAAAGAGTGCTAAGAGAAAATGATGTAAGAGTAAAATGACAGACAAAAGCAATGATGGCTCTGCCATCTAGAGATAAAGAGAGAAAAAGCAGATGACTCTGGCTAAGATAAAGAATCAGGAAGGCAACTGAGAAGATGGTGCCACTGCTGGAACAGGCTGCCTCTCCTGGGGAGTACCTTCAGTCTTTCAGTGGCCTTCCTGCTTCTTTGTTATTCGAGAGAGAGAACTAGAAATAGAAAGGAAGAAGCTGTCACTTTCAGACAGCTGAACAGTTAAGTAGGAAAGCTGACTCACACAGCACTTTCTATGCCTGCCGGGAAGCCCACAGCCAGCACAAGAGTAGCTGGTTTCACAGGTTGCACATCATTGAAATGACAGAATCAAAGTCAACCAACTGCAATGGAAATGGGACCGAGCTGGGAACAGAAATCCAAGTGTCAGTTTGGTCTTGTCCTCTGGCCTTCGGCAGACCTCGGAGCCCCACTGTCCTCTTCCCGTGAAACACAGGTTCAAAGTAGGTGGTCTCTAACAGTTCTTTCTCATTCCGGAGTTCCACAATTTATGGGCTTGACTTGATTTACTTAAAGCAGCTACATAACCAAGGTAAAGAAGACTGTCAGCCTTGTTCATGTACGCAAATGCAGACATCCACGCTCTTCCCTTTACTCCTGGAACTTGAACCGGACTAGTTGAAGCGTTGACACATAATGATATCCCCTCATCTACATATGGTAAGCACAGCTATAAGCTTTATCAATCAAAAGTTAGAATATGGTGAGGCTGTAGAGCAGTGGTTTGCAAATATAAAAATCGGCATGGCAAGTTGTTGAAAACAAGTTGCAAGGCTTTGCTCAGGATCTGCCAAATTGGAATCTCCAAGATGGAGCCCTAAGAATATATATTTTGCACAAAGTTCACTTGTGATTTGATAAATCAACTACTCTGAGGCTTATTTTTAAGAGAAAATTTGTGTTTCTCAAAGGGTGGCCTGTAGGTCAATTTCATGTGCATTATCTGAGATACTTGTTAAAAATATCTGGGAATGTGGCCAGAAATCTCCATTCTCACAATTCTTTCAGTGATTTTATAAATAGTTTATATACTAGGACAAATGAAATCATTATGTGGACAAAACCTCAAAGTCTATGAAACAATATAATAAAGATAGGAAATTATGATTGTAGTAGTTTATTTCAGTATTATTATTTATATTATATTTCATCATTTTACTTAATCCCCCATGCAAGCCTAGAAAATAAGCATTTTTAGTTTCATTTTACTGATAAATTGAAGCGTTAGAGAATTCAGGTAACTCGCTCAAACACACAAGATTCAAATATGGTTGCATTGGAACTAAAAATTAATGTCACCTAGCTAGGAAACCACCTATATTGTGACAGCATGTGTAATTAAGATTTCAGTACACCTTCTAATTAAACAATTTGTCAAGATCTTATCTGATGAGGCAAGCTAGAAATATGTCTCTGTTCCTGCTGGTTGGTTTTATTAGCTACTACGCACATGTTAAAGTCAGTATAATAAGCATAGATTACCCAAGATAAAATGACTATTAACTACAAAGCAACAAAGTTTCAGGGATGTCCTAGAATCATAAAATGATCTAAGGTAGTCATCAACTCTAGTCAACACAAATACTTACAGTTGAGAAGCCCAGAAGTATGCTAAGCTCTTACCACCTAGTGAAGAACATCTCAGCTCCAGACCTTAGCTACTGACTGCTTCATTGTCTGTGTTTACTCCACGGGCCCTAGACTCTTGCTCTCAACTCAGTATGACGATTATTTGTCTTAGTGCTAGAAGAGGACTACATGAGATGTCAAATGTCCTTCAGGGAACAAAATATTAAATGTTGTTGCTACAGATATGCTTTTAAGACAAAGATTTTTCTTCTTCTTCTCATTGAGTCTTCTCAATTTATCTGATAAAATAACTGCTTGTGAAAAGATATGCTTGTCTTGGCCTCTTGCTAAATTGAAGCAGGAAGGGTGTCCCCAGTTCCCTGTTCCTGAGTTGGCCAGTTTTGCATCTAGCAGAGTAACAGACACTTCAAAAATATGATGAAAGTGACTAAACCTTAGCTATTAGGAGACCTAGTCTGATTTTGTACAAAATTCCCTGAAAGTGTGACTGGAAAATACAAAGTTGTCCAAAGCCATGTAACTTTTTTTCTTTTTAATTTTATTTATTTATTTGACAGAGAGAGAGGGAACACAAGCAGGGGGAGCGGGAGAGGGAGAAGCAGGCTTCCCGCTGAGCAGGGAGCTCAATATGGGCCTCCATCCCAGGACTCTGGGATCGTGACCTGAACCAAAGGCAGCCACTTAAGGACTGAGCCACCCAGGTCCCCCAAAGCCATGTAACTTTTTACAGAATACAAATTCTTCCCTTTCCTGTGTTCACACCCTACCCTTTTCCTCTTCCTTCTCATTGATGTTACAGACTTCCTAAAATATGCAGACACACAGATATTTTCACAAAGGGGAAAAAAGTAATGACAATGACATCAAGAAAGAGAAATTGCCAAAAAATAAGTCAAACGTTCACAAGCTATAGATAGATTTGATGGTTTTCTAACAGCAGTTTTGGTTTCTTTGTTTTGGGTTTTGAGAGGTGATTTTCTGTGTGTTTTACTCTCACTCAAATTTTGCATGCCAACTCAGATTGTTTAGCCGTATCCTGTCAAGAGTATTCTTGAAGGAGCCAATTCTTCCACAAAATCAATATCTAGTTCTCTAAATAAAGAAGAAAAGGATACTTACAAGTCTCTGATATGCTGTTATCTCTAAGAGGTTTAGGAAGAAACTCTGATAAACTTTCTTTCCTGTAAATTAATTAAAAAGAAACTATTAAGTACCAAAAAGGAACAAATTCAGTTATATTAACAAATTTTATTTATTTTTTTAAAAGATTTTATTTATTTGAGAGAGAGAGAGTGAACATGATCGGGGAGGAACAGAGAGAGAAGCAGACTCCCCACCAAGCAGGGAGCCCGAAGTGGGGCTCCATCCCAGGAGCCTGGGATCATGACCTGAGCTGACAGCAGACGCTTAAACAACTGAGTCCCTACATTAATGCAGGTGCCCTTACATCAACAAATTCTAATCATTTTGTTTTTATAGAGTTACAACTGGTAAACACCATGACTTGACTTTCTTAAGAAAAGCAACACCTCCAATTCTACAATAAAATTTTCTGTTAAAAGTCAAAAGGCCTTCATCTCAAATAACAGGTGTTAGTACCTAGAATTGCCAGCTACGAAATGCAGTGGATAATTACTGCATCAGTGCTGTTAGGGATTAATGTCAAGTTGAGAAGGTCATCATCTAAAAGTGACTGTCCATTACAACAAATACTTATAGGCAGAGAAAAATGTAAGAAAATATTTGGCATGGTTACACCTTTGGGAAACTGTAGAAAGTTATTATACTTTTGGAATAGGACTGTAGAAAATTTTTTAAATCTTTCTTAAGTGCCCTGAGGCATTGTACCAATATTCTACTACCCAAATGGGAACCATGTGAAAGGAATCCAACAATCTTGCTCCTAGAAACAAAGATAAACAATGTACGTATAATTTCTGTTCACAAAATGGGCCCTGTATCCCAGGGTTGAGCACCTGACACAAGAAGGATGAAAAATAATAAGAGCCATTTACTCTTCTCGGACTCTTGCAATGACATCCTAAATGACTCTTCTCTTATGCATTCTTGCTTCCTACAAATCCATTCTTTACTCAGATGTCAGATGGAATTATTTCAAAGTAAATGTGCTCATGGTCATTCTCTAATTAATCCTTCACAGCCTTCCCATCACCTACAGGATCAAGTCCAAGCCCTTTTGCAGAATGCATGGTGCCCTCCAGGAGCTGGCCCCAATCCACCTCTCCTTCATTTTCACCCATGCCCAACCTGCATTAGTCCTAAAGCTCTGAGGTCATACCCAATTAATGGCACCTCTTTGCCTTATTTATATTGGCCTTGTGACTGAGGTCCTTTGCCCACGATTCCCTCTCTATCCCCTGGCTAGCATACATTCTCCCATTCAGGGTTAACTTGGGCACCCCTATCCCAGAAGACTTCTATGCCCTTTGGGCTAGTCATGCTCCTTCCCCTGTGCTCTGAAACACTCTGATGTATCTCTATTACTGAACTTACAAATTTCTGATTATTGCTTCCCATCTCCACCTCACACAATTTTTAAAGCCTTTTGAGGACATCGGCTGTGACTCATTCTTCTTGCACAACATTTTGTACATGGTAGGAGGAATAAAATAAATATCTGTTGAATGTCAAGGTGCATGAGGTATTTTTCAGACTCGGAGCTGCCTGGATGCATACTTTATCACTGTGAAAGAATTTTAAAATCCAAAATGGATATCTTTTAACTTGTTCCTGTACCCAGCTTCCCATATGGTTTGCACTGTTCCTCTCACTCTGTATCTGGGACTATTTCCCTTCAGTTGAATCTAATTTGTTCAGGCCAAATATAAGGAACTGAGAAGAGGAAGAGAAAAATAAATGAAAACATGATCATGGGGGAAGTAGCAATAAAATAAAAATGTATAAGCTTCAAAATTTATGTACTGTAATATAAATATTCACCCCTAAAAACAAGATTACAAAAACATACTTTTGTAGTTCTAATTTTCTCAAACATCTGCATACAGCTCTTGGCAAAGATCTAGTAGAAACTGCAAACAGGAACTCAATTTAAAGTAAGTTTGATAAAACTAAACATTGTTATTTGTGTCTTTCAAATGCATGTTTTAAAAAATCCCTTTTGTATACCTTTACCATATTTGTGTTTTCATCTTATGAATTTCCACTATTCCTGCCCATTGTAATAGAACCAAGAAACAAAAAAAGAAATAGTATGTTGACATAGTTAATTTTCCCTCTCTACCTCTTTGCAAGTTTATGTTATATCCAAGTATAGTTATAGGACGGACTTTGAAAATAATATTCCATACATATTTTTGATAACTCGCACAGATCAAAATTAAAGATTAAGAGACTGGGAGAGTCTTTACTTGTCCTAAGTTATCAACTATCAACAATTTTACTAACAAAAGAGCAGTAATTTCTGAAAAGATTTCAAGAACAGTGGCATGCCCTTAATAACAACAACAAAATTGTTTGAGTAACACATCTCCTATTTATGAATATTTATTTTTATAAATTATAAGTATCACTCTACTAATAATGTAAGTTATATGTTATATTATAAATTATTACATATACTAGATACATTGACAGAAACTTAAAGTGAAATAAAAATAATATAACTGGCTATTCTACTATGTTCTTCCTGAACTTCAGTATAAGATGCAGAATCTGTAAGACATTGTTACTGCACAAGGTCTAATTCTCTCTACTATCTCTCTTAGAACTGCTATTAAATCTAAAGAAAACATAGTGTTACATACAAAGGCTAGGAGATACTCAAGGCGAGGAGCCAGCAGTCTCACCAAAGGGTGTTTGTTGCAGGCTTGACAAGAGGAGCAGATCAAGGTGTGGGCAGGTCAGCAGAAATCCATCATATCAGAACTACGTACATTCAGAATTGTGAATCATCTAGTCCAGTGGTTTTCAAACTATTTTTTTTTTTCCCAAATGAACTCTTTAGCAGATGGCCCATATGTAAGACAGATACACACAGAACTGCTCTGGTTAAAGCAGCTCCCAGGCTCTACCCACTCTCTCCTCTTCCTCCTCTCCTCCTCCAAAAGATGTAGTCTGAAAATGACATAACCACACTGCCATTAGAGATGAGGCTACCAGGCTGGAGATGGAACGAGAGCAGCCATTTCAAGACAGAATGTAAAAAAGCAGCTAAAATTACTCAGACTGGGCACTTGTTCATCTTCCCATTTAATGCCCCAGCCTTTTTTCATGGAGAGGCTTCCCTGTGCATCCTGATCTGATCTCAGTTGTAAATGTAAATACTTAAACTATGATGATCTGATAGCATTTAAGATAATTTTTGCTCCTAGTGTTTGGTAAAATAATGAGTATTTTCTCTTTGAAATACATATTTCCTAACTTGCAAGTTTTAATGACTCAAGCAGCCAGCCATGTCGACATACAATTAATTTACATAAAGAAGGAGGATCTGGAGCATCTCAAACACAAGATTTTAGGAGGTCCCTGAATCCTCAGAAATCAAGGTAAGTAATATTTAAGGCATTTTTCAAAAAATTCAAAATTAGTTTGAAAACTCTATGATGAGGGATGCCTGGGTGGCTCAGTCGGTTAAGAGGCTGTGTTCGGCTCAGGTCATGATCCCGGGTTCCTGGGATTGAGTCCCAGATCAGGCTCCTTGCTCAGAGGGGAGCCTGGTTCTCCCTCTGCCTGCTGCTCCCCCTGCTTATACTCTCTCTGACAAAAAAATAAAATATAAGAATATATATATAATAATAAATAAAAACTCTATGATAAAAAAAATCAAACATTTAAATAAAGATTTGACCTGTATTTGTGCAATTCAGCTTCACATACCTTGCCTGGACCTGGACCTGCTCCAGTATCTTCTCTGAAAGAATAAAGAACTAAATATAAATATAACGTCAGATTACTCGTATTAAATAAATATCTGTCTCTACATTACCTAGAAAAAGAAGCAAATGTAATCTGGAGGACAAAGTCCAAACCAGGTGTGTTCTGTGATATAACCATCACACCTCAGTCTGAAGGACCTAGGACAAGGTTAAGGTGTTTGGGAACAAAGAAGCAGCTGGACAACAGTAACACATGAAGTAATCCTTAGTTCATGCTTGCATTTGAGCAATTTTACAATTTCAGTGAGCTACTAAATCTAGTTATAGTTGCTTCAATAAACATTCTTCTATTTTCATTTTGTTTTTAAAAGCAAATCGTAGTTCTAAAATGCATAAAAACCTGAAAGTTGAAATGGGTCAAGTGAACATCATCTGATTCCTAAAAGCAAATTAACTACTTCAACTGCAAGACCTAGTTTCAAAAGGCTGTTCTTAAAATGTACTTAACCTCTCAAGCATGACACTGGTGAAAACAAGCTTCAAAGAAATGAATCATCGTGACATTAGCAAGTACGTGCATTCATGAAGATGTTTCCATCCACAGCCCTAGTTTAGGAAAATAAATGACTCCATGTCTGACACAGAGCAGGCACTCAACACATATTTACTAAATATATAAATGAATCAATGGATGAGTGAACTTTGAAAAAAAGATTGAAACAGGTAGACTATGACCAGATAATAAAGAGCTTTGAAGGTTAAGAACAGGAGGTTAAACAAGGGGCGGGGGGAGGGGGGGAGTGGCTCTTTAAAAGAAAGACTGGGTGGCTTGATAATGAGCCATCAGTAAATTCAGCCAGAAGTCTTCTCGCAAAGTCTTCTAGCAAAGGGCAATAAAGGCATACCAAAGGGTAAAGACAATAAAATTGTAGTAAGGAAGGTGTAGCAGCTGCTGTTAGTTGGTTCCCAAAGTTCTTCTCCTTGTCTTCTGTAGAAATAGGAAGTTTAGCTGGGCATGTAGCTAAAGACCATATAACCAGGCCTCCCACGCTGCTAAATAAGGCCCTGGATTTTGCCATTTGAAGATGGGTTATGAGCAGAAGTAATGTATTTCATTTTTAGGTTATTTCCTAAAAGAAAGGAGAATGTGGCCTCTGCCTCCTCTTGTCCCCTTGTTGAACACTGGTCTGTGCCTGTTGTGCTGAGCCATCACCCATCAAGCAGACAAGGACAATCAAGACTTTGGGGATGACAAAGGATGAAAGGAG